ATTAGTATTTCTTAGTACAAGAAATTGTTTAATGATAGTAAAAGATAGTTTTGAGAGTAAAGCATAAATATACATTCACGAAAATCGTTATTACGATTTAGTATAAATAAATGGGAAAATTGTATCGGCATGTCATCATAAATAAAAACCAAGAGATTTGTGTGAGACGCGGATTTTGATCTCACAACATCGTGTATCAAAATGTTTCTTTTTAAACGGTGTAATTACTAAATCACTGACCATTTAGTCCATCGGTGTTAGTATAAAGTTTTAACCATATTTAGTATTTTATTAAATGGCAATCAATGGACCAGACTGAGGTTTCCAGTCAAACTATTTTTGAATGTGTTAACGTCTGTCCAAAAAAAAACTCTTTATACAACACCAAGTGCCAATAATAAACTTTTTTTTAAACACTTATTTTTCTTTTTTTCTTTTTCAAAAAATTAAAAATTAAAAATACGTAAAGAAAAGGGAAAAAAAGAAGAGAAACTATATAGTCAAAAGAGGATAAGCATTTATCAAAAGAATGGTGGTGGTGGTTATCATCACTCATTGTCACTCTAGTTTAAATTAGATAATTGAATTAACGCAATGAATTATTCCTTGCTGCAGATGTGCAGTTACATTTGATGAAAAATGATGGACTTTATGTAAATTTCCAGCTAAGCTATGCATTGTTTGGTCGCCAAAATTAAAATTAAAAGTCAAAAATCCAAACTAGTTTCAACTTATGGCAAAACCTTTTTGACTTTTGCACAGTTGTGAAACCCTCTAGTTCTAGAAACTAACACTAGTTGATCCATTGTCAACAAGCAATATTATATTCTTTTGTTGAGTTCTTGTTCTTATATCTAAATTTTCAAAAGACCCATTCCAAGTTGATATTTGCATCCAAGCCTTACTATTCCAGTAGTAATCTACTGGTAATGTTTTTTCTTAAAGGCCATGGTGTTTGATGTTTATGTATGAACAAAGGAGGAAATTTCTCCAGTTGCGTTGCATCTAAGTAGAACTGTTGCTCTATATTTGCCTTGTTTTGTTCTTGAAAGTGGTCCAGTTGATAATCACCATTTTTCAAGAAAGACCAGTTTTGACATAATTGAAAATATTGTCTAATTGGTATTCTTTAAGGATATTTTGCAAATTTCTTCTCATTTCTGGTAGTTGTTCAGTAGATGCAATTTGTGCTTTACTGTGTTTAGGCTGTGAGGCGGATTGAGTACCTCTGTTTAAAATTTCATAACCGACCAGTAGACCCATTAAAATCTTGATATAACAGAATTTGTAATTAGTAGATTGCATTCGAAAGTCTTTCAATTCATAAAATTAAAGCTTCTTTAATATCAGCGAATGAAGTGGTAGATGGTCTTTTAAGCCATTCGTTGGATTTTTTGATATATCACTGACTTGTACTAACTCCATGTTGTTTTGCTAAATCGTATTTTTTGTCCTTTTCCAATAAATACAATTCGCGTTTTTGTTCAGCAATAATATATACATGTTTTTTGATGAAGATGAAACATTTTTAATAAAAAACTTTAAAAATTTCAAAGTTTTCTTAATAAAGATTTGATTTTTTTTTGATTGATTTAGAAATTTGGCTAAATTTTTGTATTCTTGTTAGTAAACTTGTTATCTAAAAAATGGGTATTGCATACAATCTATGGTTATTTTGCTGATTAAGCCTGCATCTTTCATAAAGATTGGTTTTTTGCAATAATGGGGCTCCGGACATCCCCATGAATGTGACTATTTAGTTTCCTAACATGGCAAAAAATCGAATTAAACATTTGTTAAGATGCACAGTTTTAGTTGATAAGGGACAAACTTTTGATAAAACTGTACATCTCGAGAAGCGTTTAACTATTGTCTAATTTTTATTTTTTACTGGTGCAAACTGGCGCTTTTCAAATTGAATAAAATACACACATGCTTTAGGCACTGAAGGTTCTATCCGTACCCCTTCACTCTGGATGACATCAGACAAAACTATACTGCATGCCCGTTTCACAGGTAACTGGAATGTCGGAATTGGCGAGACTGTTACTCAGCTTTCGTTGAATAAATGGCATCATATAAGTTACACCCTTTCTGATTCCGAAAAAAGATTAGACATCTACATAGATTGTTTATGGGCCGGATACTATGACATCCAGAATGTTCAAAGCGCAAAAGGTTCTGTTTAATACTGGACCGCCGCATATCGTATCAGAATTTGGTTACGGGATTAATGGTGAAATTAGGTAATGTTAAAATGACCATTTTTATTAAATAGTGATTTTCGATATTTTAACTGGCGTCTACTGCTGAAGAGGTGGGAAAAACTTTTGATAGGATATTTTCAGACTCTTGCGTTTGTAGGTTTTTATTCAGCCGCTCACAATAATTATCCTTATTTTTTAAAAAAATTTTAGAAACAGAAAGCTTTCAAATGACTTCTTTTAATAAAGTATGAAGGAAGTTAATATGTTATATTAATACTCTCAAAGTTTAAATTAAAATATCTTCAAATTATATTTATTAATAATTAGTAAATAACTCAAATACATCATTGCTATATGATTAATTGAGGGAGGTTTAGGCATAATTAAAATATTAACAATTATACGTACACCCAATTATTAGTTTAATGCCACAGTCACGCAAAGTCACTGATATGATGACATCTCATGCAGCTTAGCATCCAGAAACTCCTTCAGAGAATCCGGACTTGAAGCCAATTATTGAATTTGAATGAACAAATCCTCAGAAAAGTTTAAGCTCAAAATGTCAGTTTTAACTAAAATTCGATGTGGTGAAATCGTCAGTCATTATAAAAACAATGTATACCCAACCACGACATACCTAGAATGCTTGGTGTTCATAGAACAACAATAAATTAATAAATAAAGAAAATCAAAAAACGAGAGGATATAATTCAAAAAAGGGACAGCTTTACACTGAAAATCTTTACCAAACAATGAGTTTTTTTAATGGTTCGTTTGATTCGAATTATTTATGTTTTGTACAATTAGAACATTGGTAGCTCGAATCATTCTATCCCAAAATTACTGGTTCGAATTTGGTTCGATTCAACCAGCAAGCTCTAGTATTGTTTACTGATTAAAAGCTGTTCGTCGTGCAGAATTGCTATACATATACATACATATATATATTTATTAGTATGTTTTTCAGGAACCGAGTTTTCGATTCATTAGGAGCTTTAAATGTGGCTGACACTCTGATGGTAATTAGTATAGAAATTCAAGTCTGGCTCGAAGAGAAGAAAGTTTTGTCTGCCATGTTATGACTCGTTAATGGTTGAAGTCAACCGAGTCAATATAACAGTGTTTTATCTGAAAACTGAAACAACCAACATATTTAATATGTATTGACAGGATAAAAAGAAGAGAGATAATAAAACTATATATAACAATGTTTTTGGTTGAAATCACGTGATATTTATTTAAAACTGACCGAATGCTTTATTTTTCTTAACTTAAAGTAACAATTCACCTAAAGGTATATCAGTAATTTCATTATCATCATAAATAATCTTTCCTCTTAGGATTGTTTTCTTAACCACCCCATAAAATTCTTTTCCTAAATATGGCGTCACTTTATTTTTAAATTCTATCGAATCCTCTGTTACCTGAATAATAATATTATTATTAAAATTATTAATGATGTGAACAATTCCAAATTATAATTATAATGATTTACTGTCAGCAACAAAAATAATAATAATTAATTACTTTGAAGGATTCTTCTGGATTCCAGATAATAATGTCAGCATCATACCCAACCTTAATTTCGCCTTTTCTATCATTTAATCCAACTAGTTTTGCTGGATTTCTTGATAACCAATTTACAAGATTATTAAAACTGGAAAGGTTTCTTTTTTTGGCTTCAGTCCATAATACTGGTAAACCAAACTGTAATGTTGAAATACCACCCCAAGCTTTCCCAAAACCTCCTTCCTTTAAATTACTAGTACAAGGCGAATGATCTGACACGATGCAATCAATTACCCCATCTACCAATGCCTTTTAATAAATAACACTAATAAATCCATTTTATTAAAGAAAAAAAAAAGAAAAAAGAATTCTAATCTTACAAACACATAATTTACTTACTTTCCAAAGCTTGTCTCGATTTTTATCGTCTCTAATAGGTGGACAACACTTAAATTCAGTTCTGCCAGCAGGGATTTCTTCTGCGGATAAACAAAGATAATGAAAGCATGTCTCAACTGTTATTGGCAAACCATCAACTAATTTAGCTTTGGTGATAGCGTCCAGAGCATCTGATGCTGATAAATGTACAATATGTGTTCTAACCGATTTATTATATTCTTTGGTTAATTCAATTACAAATGAGATTGCATCAATTTCTAAAGAAGAAGGTCTTGATTCTAGAAATTCCCTGTATTCGTTATCAATATTATTATTACTATAATTTTGATTATTTTGATTATTTTGCAGAGTAGCTTTAGAATTCTCTTTTTCCATTTCTGCGTGAAACATCAATAAAGAATTTTGATTCTACAAAATTTTTGGAATTTTTTAGAAGATTTCTCAAGAAATTTAAAATTATATATTTATTCACCTTACCTTTAGTGTTTCAAATGCCATTCTTACATCTTGTTCATTAACACAAGGAAATTCATCGACGCCACTTTCAATTAGAAAACATTTAAATCCTTTTACGCCAGATTTTATCAAAGGAATCAAATCATTCTAAAATTATATTTATTTTAATAAAAACAACATTGTCATTATCATTATTATTATAATTCTCATCCATCATTGCTTCTAATCTGTGAACCTGATTTCCAGGAATTACACCACCATAAAATCCAATATCAACCCAACTTTTATTCTTGGTAACGTTAATCTTTTGATTCAAGTTATCAACGGTTGTAGTTGGTGGTATGGAATTTAATGGCATGTCTATAACGGTTGTCACTCCACCTATGCACAAAAATCATATCATTCTCAAAAAAATATTATTTGATAATAAAAAACAATCACACATATAATTAGTTGTATTTACCTGCAGCAGCAGCTTTAGTGCCAGTTTCAAATCCTTCCCAATCAGTTCTACCGGGTTCATTCAAATGAACATGAGTATCAATCAAACCTGGCATAACAACATCATTACCAGCATCAATGAAATCTTTCTTCTTATCATCCCCCACCAAGAAAGAAGAATACGAGTCAATTGATGATCTAATTGGATGGATTCTCAATATTTTCCCTGTCACTTTATCAATTTCAATTGTGGCATCAGATGGTTCATCAAAGCCTGAGGCAAGAATTTTTGATCCTGTTATTACGAGCAAATTTTCCATTTTCCTTTGTTTTATATGATTGGTATCACAAATCTATTTATTATTTCATCAAAAAGGAAAGTGGACGTTTCACAAAATCGATCGCGTTTTCCCATACATGATAATAATAATGACCAATAGATGTCTTCTAATTAATTAATAATTAGTTAAAACTAGTATTAAAACATGTTCATCATGTTCATTTAGCATTATGTCACAAAGAAATTCAAAATATTAACCGTCTCATCTGGGTGTTCCTCGTTTCATATTACATAGATCTGCCATGGTTATAAAAATGTTCCTTATATGTTTAAATCAGCTGCCAGTAGAACCATTATATTCATTTTCTTCATATAATACATAAATTTATAAAATGGTGTGGATGTTATTGTAGAGAATGTAAGCATGACTGAGTGATGGCGTTTTTATATGTTGTGCAAGGTAAATATAAAAAAAGGGTAGACAGCACCAATGATAATTCAAATAGTAATGAGTGTACATAGACACAATTAAGTTTGAATCAATTGCCAATATTAATAATACATGAAAAAGAGTTCTTCATCTTTTATCTATACCATAATCTTCTATTTTATTATTGATTCCTAGATTGCTTCTATTGTTTTCTTTTGAGGATTGGTTTTCATTAATGGAAATTTTTGGAATCAAGGCAGCAATTTTCCTCTCTCCAAGTAACTCTTTGATTTCAGCTACCATTTTGTTAAAGGAAAATCCTAGTCCTATTCGGTCTTTTACCAAATAATTGTACAAATTTTAACGTCACTTGATGATTAATCGAAACTATACGTAATTAAAGTTTGGAGCGAGTGTGTTTGAACACAAAATTATGATCAGCTAATTTGAATTTCACGCGTGTGAATTTCAGATTTCAAAGCATTTTTTTATTAAAAGTTATGGTGGAATTATTGAAAAAGATAAGGATGTTTGGTGAAATTAATAATGAACTTTACATGAATTTTTTACTTAGAAGATGTTCGTAATGTGATCTGCGTTATTTTCCTTTTATAATTATTTGTATATACATGCGTCACACGATCATTTTTTTTTAATCAACTCATATCATTCATACCATCATACCTGCAAAACTTTTAATTCTTTTACAATGGGATCTTACAATAGAACTTCTTTACAAAATGCAGCGGATAATAGTAATAGGTAATAAAAATTTCGTGTTTCGCGTTTTATAATTTATTTTTTCCTTTTAATAATTCAATCGTATGGTTTTTTTTAAATATAATATTGTTGGTATATGTTATGATTAGAGCTCCAATGCCTTCTGCCTCTTCTTCTTCACAGCCAATGACTGATTCTATGATAGTCAACGTCAAAGACATTAATCCTTACTTTAATAGGCATGTATCGATCAATCAATCAATATATGTGTAAATAGATGATTCGTTTTGTTAACATTAAATTTCAAATTTTCCAATATTATGTAATTTTATCATTGTGATAAAATAAAGATGCGCTATCAAAGTTTTCGTGATTAACAAGAGCGAGATCAAAACTTGGTCTAATAGTCGTGGACAAGGAAAACTTTTCAGTCTCGTCTTGATGGATAAAACTGTACGATGAATTATTTATTGATCTTTTTTTTTTAATGGAAAAAATAATTGTAATTTATATATTTATATGATTTGTATGATTTGCATGATCAGGGAGAAATTAAAGCTACAGCATTTAACGATCAGGTGGATAAATTTTATGATAAAATTGAAGAGAATAAGGTAAAAATCAATATAAATAACATTAAGATTAATATTTATACAAGTTATACATATACTTGTACATATATACTTACTTACTTGTACATTTATACATACATGTACATATATTCTCCTTCACATACTTGTACAATATATAATGAACGATATAGGTTTATTACATAGCCAATGTAAAGATTAATTTCAACAAGAATCCGATGTATCAAGGTCATAAATATGAATTACATTTCGAAAACAATACGGATGTTAAATTAGTATGTTATACAGATTTATTTTTTGCGTAGTAAAAAAAAATAAAAGTTCATTAATTGATTGATTTGATTTATTAATTAGTGTGAAGAAGATGGTTCTATGTTAGAAAATATAAAGTTTCAATTTGTTCCATTAAAAGATTTGGCAGAGATTGACAAAGACAACATAGTCGGTAAACAAATACTTATTATTATTATTATCAATTAAATTAATTTTGTGAGAGGAAAACACATGAATGAAATATTAAATACGTTATTATTCATATATAGATGTAATAGGAATTGTTAAGCGTTCACATGAACTTGTCGAAGTTACTTCTAAACAAACACAAAAGGCTGTAAGTAATTAATTATCTTGTATAAATTTCTTGTTCCAGTAAATTAAATACTTGATTATTGGTTTTCTTTCCTCTCCTTTGCCTGCTGGCAAAAATTATAGATTTACAAAAAAGAAATTGATATAGTTGACAAGAGTGGATACGAAATAAACATGTCGTTATGGGGAAATCAAGCAGTCAATTTTGATGTTGCTGATTATTCAGTCATAGCATGTAAATCTGTGCGTGTTGGAGAATATAAAGGTTGGATAAAAAAATAGATTAATATTATCTTATTATTCTATTATAAAATCACGTGATATTTATATTGATTTATTTGTATGTCTTAGGCAAAACTTTGTCGGTAGCGCTCAATTCGATATTGCTTGTGAATCCTTCTATTCCTGAAGCAGAAGAACTAAAAAATTGGTAATTAAATAATTATATTTTATTCTAATGCCAATAGTAAATTATGATTAATAACAAGTACTTGTAATAATAATATTATTATCATTATAAATACAATTTATAATAGGTTTCAATCGGGTGGAAGTGATGCAGAGTTTAATAGCCTTACTGGTAGCGCAGAACAAACTAACATCCCCAGTGTTAAAGAAGCACAAAAGCCATTAGAAGAAATTTTGTCTGATAGAACCTTAGGACGTAAAGATAAAGTAACTACTGACATTATATAAATAATATATATATTATTTGAATATTTTTCTAATTCTAAATCTCCAAATTTATATATTATTCAGCCAGACTATTTCACCGTTAAAGCAATTGTTATGTATATACATAGTAAAGGAAAAGATTTCTTCTATCCAGCTTGTCCTAATTGCAATAAAAAAGTTATAGAGTATGAAAATGCCTGGAATTGTGGAAAATGTTCCAAATCATTCGAAAATCCAATTTATAGGTAAGTATTGATGTAATTTTTGAGATGATTAATTTTTTTGTGAAAAAAAAATAACAGTTATATTAATGATGTATAATTATTAATCAATGCACATTTATTCATTTATATGTTCGTTTATTAGGTACATGTTACCAATTCGTGTCTCCGACAATTCTGGTACTGTGTGGTTAACTTGTTTTGATGATGTAGCTAAAGTAGTTATGGACTTGCCTGCTGATGATTTACGTAATTTAAGGGTAATTTTGACAATTGAATAATAAAATTTTCCAAGAAAATACTAATTAATCTGAATGATTTCAATGGTCGTTGTTGCAGCTTAACAATCCACTTGCGTATGATAAATATATCCAAAATCGATTATGGGAATGTTATATTTTCAAAGTTCGCTCCCAACAAAGAAATTATAATGTAAATAAAATAACATTGATAATAATATTTCATTTTTATTTTTATAAATGAATATTTACTTATGATAATTTCTTTTGCAGGATAAAATTACGATAAATTTCATCGCAGTAGGAGCTGGTAAAATCGATCTTAAAGAAGAGGCAGGCAATTTAATCGAACAAATCGGAGCATTAGAAAAGATGATTTAAAAGATGATAATAATATTAGCAGCATTGTCATTATTAACATATAAATAATAAATTTCTTTTCCGTGAATATTGTATTATTGTGGTGTTTTATTTTTTTCTTTTTCTTTTGTACATAAATAATAATCATAATAATATAATTTTTTTTGCTAAATAAAAATATCAATTTTTTCGTTTAAATCACGTGGGTAAGTAAAATGAATGCGAGTAAAATCGTCCGCGCGTAATAAATGACTAAATCCACAAAAAACCAATAATAAAACATACACATAAGCAGGTAAATAAATAAATATTTACTATTACATTTACCGGAACAACAACTCCGAAAAATTATTTTTTGTTTTGCGAGATTTTCACGAAATAAAAACAAACTTTATTTATTTACTTTGGATATAAATGGTCAATAATATAAAAACATTAATTGTGTTTGTTATGTATTAAATCACAATTTAAAATGAAAATACATTGAAAGTGAGTTCAAAGAGAAGGAGAAGAGGCGTCAATAGTCCTTTTTTTACTTTTTTTGTTTAAAGAAAGATTGTTTCGTGTCGTGTTACCACATTGTGTATTTATAATTACTATTTTAACGCTACAAAGATGATTTCTAATTGGTTCTTGTTAAAAAAAAAACGATGTTTGGCGAACAATCAGTATTAGTAAAAAGTTTTGAATAAAAAAGATTATTCAAAATTGGCGATTTTGTTATTATTGTTGTTGATAATGGTTATTATTAATTAGGAATAAAACATCAAACAATCAATTAAATATTCAATAGTCCTATTCTACTGATTTAACGTTCTCTCTCTCATTCGTATGTTTGTTTGTTTATCTTTATATTAAATACATATATTCTATCGTAAAAAAAAAAAATACCAAATAAAGATTGATCTAAGATTATGATAACGAATTAATTAAAGGAAATAAGGCAAATGATTGGTAGTGATTGCGAACATTGATGGTGGCGCTGACGGAGATAATTTCAATTGAAATTTTTTTAATAATCAAAATCAAATCAAAATAATACTCATTAAAATAATATTAATTAATATATTCGCATTCATAAAAATTTTTGATGATCAAAGAAATCATTGACAAAAATGGAAGGTAATATGGCATTTTACAGATTTACAGATGAGAAAATACATGTAAAAAACTTGAAATTTCAGTCCGTAATATCAATCAAATCATGAAATTCGTTGTCTTTTTATTTTACATAAATAAATAATAAATATATATAATATAATATAAATAGATTACACACCGCTGTATTTATATTTAATAATTAATGTGCAATCTAAACTATTTACAGTTTTTCTTTTGTTCAGTAGCCTTTTTACACGCGAATGGGTTTGGCCACACTAAAATATTACACAATTTTGTTTCAGCCTCACCAAATTATAAATCTGCCACATAATTCGTGCATGTGGCATATTTAATCTGTTGTGTGACATTAGCCACACTTTTTTCGACGTTTTAAAAAAATTCCTTTATTTGATTTGATATATATATAGTTGTTATTATATGTATAAATAAATAAAATGAATAAATATATATAAAATTTTATCCCCTTAACCTTAAAAACTTATATATATATAAATAAAAAAAATAAAAATGTAGTGTACATGCATTGAATTCGAAAAACGAATTCGAATGCGGGAAAGGGTAAATTGAAAATTTGTACATTTTAATCTAAAATCTTAATTTATCATGATTCTATTCTTAATTTATGCACAACAAAAAAAAACAAAAAAAAACATATAATGAGTGCGTGAAACTTAATTAATAAAAATCTGATCCAATTAAATAGTGATAATAACATAATTCTTACCGTAGGAATTTTTGCATTTTAATGCAAAATGTTATTTTGAATTCCTTCGATATACCGTTGGTAAAAGTTGTCATTATTATGATTATTACGAATTCCATAACTTTCGTAATGTGGATAATAAATTTCATTATGATGACAATTGTTATCATTACTAGGAATAATGATATCGACTTCCAAAGGCTCAGGCTCAGGCCCAAGGTTTGATAAATTATATACAAAATTTTCATTTCCTTCTAGCAGAGCTGTGCTGCTGTTGTTGCTGTTGTTGTTGTAAGGAGTGATGAATGGAGATTCTAGTGGTGGTGTTGGGGGATGTGGATACGAAATTGATTGGTTGGTTATGCTATTATCATTATAGTTGTTGTCAATAGCATAACTGGAATAATTCATTGCAGGTGCAGAGTAATTATAGGAAGGTGGAGGTGGTGTTAAAGGAGGTGAAAGGATTGGTGGCTCATGACAAAAGTTTATGCTAAATATGCTGATATTTTTTTCAAGTTTTTTATTGGTCCCTACGGGCGGAAATGTATTTTTGAAGGGATTTTTTGGTTTTGGAGAGAATTTGTAATTTGGATACAGATTCTGATGGATTATTTGTGCTTTATAACTCAACCCGTCGTATCTTTCTTTGACTGGTTGTGGAAGACGTTCCCATATGTATTTTGATTGCTTACAAATTTTTGGCATGGTGAATCTGTACCCCAATTTCCGCAATTCGAGCATGTAGCAATTTTTCATTAAAAAGAAGGAGTTTGGCGGCCTAGGTGGGTTTTTATTGAGTGGCCGTGGTTTAGCATTTTGTTTGGTGGAGGTTAGTTCAGTGACTGAATATTGGGGATTGTAAATAAGATTCATATCCAAGTCTGCTGGAATTTCACAATCACCTTTAGCAGAAGTTTTGTCATCGTTGTTAATGTGGATGGTGGATCTATCACATATTTCATTTTTGTCCATTTTATTATATCGCGTTATTATGAAAGAAGAAGTGGTGGTGTGTCTTGAATAAAAAAAAATTTTTTTATCCAAAAGAATGTATGAATTAGGAGTAATTGATAAATAAAGCGAGTATTCTTATTTTAAATATTTAAATATTTAAAAACCAAATTATTAAAATAAAAATAGGATATTTTTAATGAATGAATAAACGATCAAAGAGTGACTTGGTTAATGAATAAATGGAGATAAGAAAGAATGAAAATGATTCTTGACGTATTTTATTTGGGTTTTATTAAATAATATGGAAGAGAGAGAATAAAAACACAAAAAACATGATAATTGTAATTCAGCTAATCGGTTATATTTATGTATAAATCTGGTAGTGACACAAAATGAGGTTATGTCAAAGTTTGTTGGTTTTTTGGTGGCGTGTGTGATATAATTTATTATTATTGTGTGAGTCCTTTTTAAAAATCTAAAAATAGGGATACGACAGGATCTAGATAAAATTTTGCCACAAAAGAGGTATCCTATTAAAATAATATTAATACTACTCTATCGAGCAATCACATTTCTTTTAAAGTTAATTTTTTTGCACGATCAAAATAATGTCAATTTGAATTTATGTTTGTGAATGAATAATATGAATTCATTTACAAAAAAACCTTCGGCGATTCGCAGAAATTAAATAAATAAATAAACAAATAAACAAATAATAACAGGCAAACAAACACAAAGTTCAATTGTGGTCACATGATCCCCATTGTTGTTGTTACTTTTGCATGTTTTTTTTTAACAAAGTCTTTTGAAATTTTATTCTAATTTCGGAGAATTCTTTCCGCTGCATATTTTTTAATTAAACATATCTAGTATTAAAATTATTCCGGACAAAAAATGATCGTTACTGAAATTTATTATTAATATATTAATATATTAATATATGTATGTTTATGATGGCAAGATGAATATTAATATTAATGCGATCAATTGGTCAATTCCGAAAAATGTATAAATAACAAGCTAAATGTATATCAGAAGGCATTAATTGAAATACAAATTTATATAGAGTCAATATGCGTATACTGCGTAAATCAATTTTTATGGAAATATTTTGATGTTTATTTGGTAATTTTTGTTGCCAAGAAATTTAAATCAATTTTAGTAGACAAATGCATTATTAATTTTTCTCGCACATTAACAAAAATAAAATGAAATAAATCCACCAATTCAATATAATAAAATGCCGGGCTAACAATTATGACGATTGCGAAAACCTGGAAATGCATTTCGATTTCTTATTACTGGAGTTCTAGGCGGTGGTGGCGGTGCTTGTGTATGCTGTTGTTCTTGGTTTTGTCGCATTTGCGGTGGTGGCGGTGGTATTAATGTTGAATGAGATGATCTAAAAATATTCGAATGGTTGGAATTTAACGGATATGGTCTTGCAACGTTCCTTGATTCCATATATGGTTGTGATTGGGTAGCTGGTCGCATTAGAGGTTGTCGTGTTATTGTAGGTGGTGGTATAGAAGATTTTGTTGTGACCCTACCAATTACATCTTTATCATTACTATTACTAGCTTCTACAACACATTTATATATGCACGGTAAGAATAATATGTAAATAATAAATCATTAAATTATAAAGTTCAAAAATTTATATATTTACCATTACTATTAATATTACTAATATTACTAGTATTATTACCAACACCATCTTCAAAGAATTTTCTATTATTATTATCACGCATTTCATTCCATGTCATTCGCACGGTTGATGTTTTTGGTCTACCAAATGTTTGATTTCTTGATTGTCGAGGAAAATAATCATTTACAGTGTTTTTGTTACTTTGGACGCTTTCTTGGTATGAACGTGGTGGTGGATAAGTTTGCTCCGCCAAGGAACTTTTGTTTATATTTAATGAAAAGTGATAAATAATAATTGTGATATAATTTACGATCATGAATTTGATTTTACCTTGACCGATTCGGTAATTCATTTGCAGCCACATCAACATTATTATCATCGTAGTTTCCAATATTGGTATTTATCCATGAAATGCAATGTTCTTCTGGATTTTGTTCACCAACATAATTATATGACGATGTTGATTGTTCGTAATGATCATTTTGGTGATCATAATAATCATAATCATAATCATGTCGATGAGGAAATTGTTCTTGTTGCCGATGATTTTGTCGATTTTGGAAATTTGGTTGCTGTTGTTGATAATTATTTGTTGATAATATTCCTGGGGGATTATTAGTTGTCGGTAAGGATAAACGTGCAGGAGGATTTGGCGTACTTGGTGGCGGATATGTCTTACATAATCGCAATTAATAAAATCGGTTAATTGATTTGGAAAAATTGATTTTACTTAATATATGATTTTACCTGATTTGATGCTTGTTTATTAACATTACTATTATTATTGTTCTTGTTATTATTTGGTTGTTCAGTAGATTTTGATTTTGTCTTGGACCTAAATTAACTCCAATACACATTTACTTATGAAAACAATAAACAATTCAATGATTATCTACACACCTGGGAATTGACTTAGTCGAAGGTCGATCTTGTTTCTTGGAATTCCTTTCATGTTGCAACTCTTTTAATTCATGTAATTGTCTTTTCAATCGTTTATTATCATCAATAAGATGATTAAAATCTCTATATCACAAATGAATGCATCATAAAGAGATAATTAATTATTGATCAATTATTTTATAAATAGGCGGATCGACCAACCTTTTCAAATTCTTGCAATTTAATAATTCATTTTTTGCTTTATCAAGCATTTTGTTTTGTTTTACCAACTTATCTTTCAGAAAATTAACGAGTGAAGCTGTATTGGTTTGCTGGAACTATTAAAAAAAAGTATTTTATAAATAAATTGATTATATCAAACATAATTTTTAATTTATTTACTAAAAATTATTAATTTTTACTCGTAAGGCTCCAGCAGCTACATCTATTATCTCATGAACGGGTTTAAAATAAGTTATAAGCTCGTCCGGAAGCTTGTGATAATAGTTATAATTATAATGAGCTATTATTATTGTTGTTGGAAATCATTGCAAGAAACATGTAAATTATGATTTTTTTTTGAAACTTACATTATCATTACATTCGACAACTACACATTTAGCATTGCAAACTAGACAAATAGTCTCAGCGGTAGTAGCAATCGAAAAGGATTTATCTAAATTTTAATTGACTAGTTTGGTCGATAATTTATCTTCAAAAATAAATAAAAATGAAACTCGTTATTATAGAGAAAATAATTACCTTTAACTTTAGCATTCGTGCTATTACCATCTTTTCCAGCATTATTATTGCTAACAATGGCATTATTGTTACATTCTTTATTATTATTATCATCACCATCATTAACTTTTTTGCTTTTACTGCCTTCGCCTTTGAATTTTTCAGCATCAACTCCTTTATTACTATCAACATTTATTTTGTTAGTTTTGATACATTTGTGACATATTACATGTCCACATTCAGTTAACCAAAATCTTATTTCTTCCTTTTCATTATCTTCGCACAAAGGTCCAGAATAAGCAAAACACACGTTGCAATGCAAATATCCTTTATTGTTGTTATTATTAATAATATCCATTTTTGTTGTAATTTACTTTTTTTTAAAAAAAAAAAGTTTCAAATATATATTTTAATATAATGACTTAATCTTATAAATTCGGTAATCTATAAAAATGATGGATGACGACATTATCATCAAATCGAAAATTCCGTGTCACGCACAGTCTTGTTCTTAGCGTGGTTGACATTTTCATTTTATCTAATAATGGATAAAATTAATCAAGTTTCTGTTAAATATACTAACTATCGCTTCACAAAATGTTCTTCAGACATCTATTATTTATTGTTTAAAAGCCCATGGTTAGAAGAAAAAATTATAACAAGAAATTCAAAAAGAACAGTTTAAGAATGTCACCGCCAAATCACACATCCCTGTGCTTCTGGCTCACAATCTCCCAACCAAAATACTTGGAGAAAGAAAGAAGCGGCGAAAATTTGGATAAGGGTTTCAAATTATTTGTTATTAAATCTAATGTAGTTTGCATGAAAGCATTAATTTTGCAAGTTCATAATATCATATATGAATCTACATAATCATTTGGCTAAAAGCCACTTCATGCAGTTATTGATAATAAAGCTATCAAACTGGTAGATCTACTAATTGGCCAGAGTCAATGGAAAATACAGAAAAATTAGCACACATGGTTGCTGGTAATATTAATTATTTAAACCTACTACTCCTGTGACGGATGAAAGAATATTTGCTTCATAATACATGTAAAATTCTCTAGTTCTTTGAGGGAGCTTCTCACCAAGTTGATAATTTAGGTTTAAATACAAGATCCTACTGCCTTTATGGATTAGAAGGAAATTAAAAGGATTGGATGAAACAATGATCAAAAACATTGCAAACAATTTACAACTTTTTATCTATGACAACATCACTTGGGCATATAAAATTATATACCCATATATACTGTTAACTGATATAAATAAATATTTTATATTATTTTTAATGTTAATTTTGGCCAGAACTATCCCAAGTTTGCCCAAAAATTATGATCGCATAAAAGTATTGATTTCAAAAAAAAAAGAAAAAAGCACATCTCAACCCAATTGAATGTGGTGATCAGAGTCAATGACTTTTTCTTGTGTCATACATAATAGGACCCACAAACTATATAGATAGGTTACATACAAAAATCACGGTTTGATATAGGGTTTGATCCACACTGTGGTTGGCTTGTTGGTGACAATTTTTCACTAACATTGTCACATGACTAGAAGAGCACAAAACTGTGTCATAAGTTTTATTGTTTCTTTTCTTCTGAAATAGTACTTTCACACCGATAGGATAATGATTCAAACTCATTATATTTTTGCCATTTTTTTTCTAGAACATGGCGATGAACAATTTCATGGACTTCATTGAAGGTAAATTTTGTATTTCTGGTTCCTAGAGTATTAACAGTATCTCAGATAGTAAAACTTATAATTTTTTTAATCTAGAGTCATGTATAATTGCTCCGACATTGGTTGACCACCGTGGAATCTGCATGAAGGTAGTTCACATACAGTAATTCCAATAATGATGTAATATAACATGAGTTTCGCCAATGTGGATATGATTGATATTTTTTGGAAGTTCAATTACTTTTTGTTTTTCTTTTTTACCATTGTCAACATCTAAATTTTATTATCATTAGATGATTTACTTTTTAAAATGGCCTCAGCAGTATCTGGTGATCTATGATCATTTACACCAGCACCTTTGGATTTTTTTCTTCTGGATGATTCAGTTGTTCCATATAATTCTGCAACTTTTTTCCGTGGTTCATAATGACCATATTTCAAGGAATGTCCTTTACTTTTGTTTTCATAATCAAATTCCAAAGCCATTACAAACAAAAGAAGGTTCTCAAGACCTAAATGAAATAAGTTCAAGGTTAAATAATCCATTAGTCAATTAAGTTAATCAATTATTTTTTATAAAATAAATAATTGACTGATTTACAGCTCCGCACATGTAATATAAATTCTTGTGCATTTGTTGAATTTGGCAATATTTTGGATAAATCCTCATCCATAGAACTTAGTGCAGGAAAAGGATTTTTCCTGCATCAGTATAAATCCACCATTCCAACAATATTTGACCAATTTTTCTTTATTTCTTCAACTTGTTTAAAAAATTCTTTAATGTCAAGTTTTAAAAGTTTTAATGCCATTGATTGGAATATTGCTGAATTTTCATGTTGACAATTTCATGATTTTGTGCAATCCTTGCTATAGATTGCCTATAATGTTCCTGGCATCCTTTTAAAAACTTCAATGCTTCATTTTCCAAGTGTGTTTTATGTGAATCTTATCCTCTTTTAAAATCACTGTTATCAAAATGGGTATCCATCTTTTAAGAAGAGGACAATTAGGTTGTGTTGGTCTGGTCCAGTCTCAGTCCCAAAAGACCAGTCTTTAGATGCAGTCTTTGGGACTGGTTAAAGATTGTTTAAAGGATTTTGATGTGAATCACATATTGCGAAGTAACTTTTTGGTTGATCTTGATTATCTTACATTTTATGACCAGGTTCAAATTAACTTTTAGTTACACTCATCAATTATTTTATTTTCTGAATTTATCCTGCTTACTGCCTAGAAAGCTTCGGCAACAAATAACAATGAATTTAATTATTTTTGTTCCTTTTGTTCCACCAAATTTATTAATAAAAATATAGCAATCATTGTATGCCATTCTTCTTTCTCTATTACACTAATTGACTGTAAATCACAAATTATCCAATTTATCACAGCTTCATCATGTTTTTTCTGGTCAATTGAATTATGAGGGCCATTATGATATTGATATAAAGTTCTTTGTATTTTGGGTGCAATAAACTGAATGTATTTGTTTCAGATGTCTTTGTAAATTAGTAACACCACTAGTTTTTGAAAATTAGCTATACATTTCTTACATACTAATTTATTTGGTATAACACGAAAAAACTCCCAAACTGTACTCTTTTGAATGTTATTTGTATGTGATGATGATGTTATTGGTATTGCTGTGGATGATGATGATGATGTTAAATTACTAGATATATTAGAAATTGAATCTTCGGCATAAACGGTTTCATTTTCATCAAGAAACCCTTCTTCCCCTTCAAAACTGTGATTTAATTCCTCTGAGGACATCATAGAAAGCCAATCATCAACTAAGTCTTCGTTTTGTTTTATTGTTGTTGTTACTACTGCTCCTATTTCTGATATTCTTTCTATTACTATTTCTATTTTTAATTACCAATAATAATAATATTATTAATATCTACCACTGTTATATCATTAAGTTATATTAAATAAACTATTGGTTTTTATTTACATACTAAATTATTATTATTGAATTTTTTTATTATTAAAGTTCCTTAGTATTAGCCTCAAAAAGTGAACAATGTAAATTTTTAACAAAAGTTTGGCCTTCAATAAACATAATAATAATGAATAAATAAAAACTCCCAAAAAAGATAATCTCCAATTTTAACATAAAACCGGTGCACAAGATAATTTTTATTGTTCACAATTTCCTTATTAAGAAAGATCAGCTGGTCCTATAAATACTGGTCTTTTAATGACCAACGCAACCCTATTTTGGAACCGTTCAAACTGTTCGAACCAGTTACACATGTTCACAATGTGACACGAATAATTATTTTAATAAAGGGTAGGGGAATCACATGATAAATCAATAGTAAATCATGGATCATAAAAATTTTTTATTGGTTTCAATGTTGATCATCACAAAATGTCCGATAAGTTTTCCTATTACTATGATAATAATAAATGTGAAATGAATATTTGTTACTAAGGGATGAGTATATGTTAATATGGGATGAGTTATGGGATGAATTTTGTTTTTTGAAGAATTTTAAAAGAAAATTTTATTCAAAATCACTTTCAATAACTACTATACAGCAGAATGCACGTATAGAATAACACAGAAGTTATTTGAATGTGTCTCATGTAGCTTCGCCTTTAAGACAATTATTGATTTTGAAAAAGTCAAATTTTGATCCCCGGATTTGTATTAAATTATCACGTGATTCACCCTACCCTAAAAATTTTTTAATGATTGGATATGGATTCTGTGTTAATGAAAACTAGTTTTTGGTATGGGTGTATTTCCAAAAGGATTTCTATCGTTTGAAAGTCATTGCCTTTCTTAGTATTTTAATAAAGGGTTTGTGTAATGTTGTTCAAAAACTGTTCAAACCATTTAAACTGGTTCCACAAAACCAAACCACCCTACTTAGAAAAAAGTGGCGCTGCACTAACCATTTTAAATTTACAGACAGACCTCTATAAATGCACTGCACAGTATTTTTTCAGTCCACTCATATGAAAACTCCATCCATAAATGCACCCCATGTGACTAATGTATAAAATTCATCATGTAACTAAGTTAAATTTAGAAATCATCAGCAAATTTTTTGATTTGATTGGATAATTTCCAATATGCAATGCAATCCAATTTTATGACTTTGTGTCATTAAATGAACTTGCATCCTATTTGATAAAATGCAAGTTGATGAATTTTTGAATATCCCTGAAGAAAATATAGTCTGAGAGGTTCCAGGTGATGATAAAATAATTAAAGAACTTGCAGAAATATATAAAAATAAAATGAATGTACCTGCTGACAATTCTGAGAAGATGACATTAAGCCTTGAGGAAGCATTAAAGGTCTTGAAACTGTACATTCATTTTTATTACAGCAAGAAAAATAATGGTACAAACAAATAAAATTGGAAAGATATATCAATATAAAAAAAGTAAATCCGTCAAAAAGAACTACTGTATTTAAAATATTGCATATCATGTGTGACCAATGAAATTGCTTCTCTCCATAAATGCACACTGTCCCTTGGTCCCAAGGGGGGTGCATTTATGGAGGTCTGATTGTACAAAATAATCTATATACTTTTATTTTTTTTACCTTCAGATCAAGAAAGATTTTACTCAGGTCAAAGTTTACCCTAAATTTCATTTATTTTGGTCATAACATCCAAATTTGTTAATGATATACACACTTCAATTTCTGTCAACTAAGAAGTTGTAGAATATGCATGGATAAATAGCATTAACCTGTTTGACAAATTATTTTCTTTGTTAATGAGGATATCCCAAATCATTTTTCTTGTTCGATCACGTGATTTTAATTTGATTTTAATTATTTTAATTGGTAGATTTCAATAGCCAATGATTGGATATTCAATTATGCTATAGATGGTAAAGCATATGGGCCAATTTGTTCGATCGGCAAAAGAAAAAAATATTAATGACACGTGGGCGTTACATTTTGATGATCATTATTTATTTTTAGATATATATAATAATTAACTGTATTACTATTATAAACGTAATTTTTGAAACGGGATTCTTTTTTATTGGTTTCTTTTTAAGTGGGATTCTTATTACTACTATATTTAAAGGTCGTAGGAGAATATCTTTACTTAGGAACACAAGAGTGATTATTATGTGCGTTATAGATTCGTGTATGATGACTTGTGATTTTAATATATAAAAATAATCAATTTTTAAATGTCACAGGATGTCGATCAAAAAAATTGGCCCGTATGAAATTAATTTCCGGTTTAGTATAAGATAGCTATATTTCTGCCCAATCAAAATAAAGGGGTTATTTTGGTGTACCCAAATTTACATAAATGGACATTTTGTTACACTTAAATTAATTAACTTTTTCTTTGAGTAGAAAAAGATAAAATAATGGTAAATGAAGAGTTCGAAAAAAGTAAAGGAGAACCCATGAATCCCGATGCTAACGCTAATTTTTCAATCGAATTTGAACAATGTAAAGTTTTCTTTTATTTATATATATATCTTTTGCATTTAGTTAATTCATCAATAACTATCATCATTATTCCTAGTTAAAAGAAATGATCAAACGAAGAGAGGCTTTTTGTTAAGGGATGATTTGAAAACGACTTTATATATTCCCAAATTTAATGATGTGACTATCAAGTGTCAAGATGGAATAATACTTTACACGTCGAAAGCAATTTTAGCAAGCCGTAGTAAATATTTTTATTTTATAATTGATAAAGGATATTATGATGAACGTAATAATCAAATAGAATTTGAAGATATTGAATCTAAAGAAATGAAGAGTGTTTTAGAATATTTGTACACGGGTGATATTAATACTGATGATATTATGTTGATGATAGATACTTATTATGCATCTATTAGACTTGAGATAGAGAATTTACAAGAAAGAATAATTAGATTCTTTGATAAAAAATTGAGAAATGAGATTTTCATGACCGTTAAAGATTTAATTTTTCAATTATTCACAAAATCAATTGATAAATTCGCTAAATCAAGGTTTGATAATAAATTAATAGATTTAATTAATTCTTTTATTTCTAGAATAGATTTATATTCCTATCGTTACGCTATGTTACTTTCATTTGAGGCATTAGAGTATTTATTAATTAAAATTACCAAAGATTCTAATTTATACTTTTCAACCAAAGAATTTGATTTAATTTGTTTATTTTTATTTAAAGTAGCAAAAGATTTTATTTCTAATGATAGTAATAGTATGCTTAGTAGTGATGATAGTGGTGGTGGTAGTAGTAGTAGTAGTAGTGGCAATACTTTTAGTAACAGTAGTCCTGAAGCTAGCATCAGTGATGATGATGATAATTTGATATTGGATGAAACTAATTTTGAGAATAAATCATTTTTAAATGACTCAAGATTTACAAATTTAATTTCCAAAGAAGAAAAAATTAAGGATCAACTTAAAATTTTATTATCATCAGTTTACTTGGAATTGGTCAAGTTGGATGATCTAATCAAATATATTGAGGGTTTAAATATTTTCACAGTAGAGCAATTATCTGAAGCCTATAAACAATTTGCAATCAACAAAAATATCGATGTGGAGATTCGCGGTACTCCATATTTCAGATGGAAATCGCCTAATCGCAAAGTTTTCAAAATTCCAGAATATTACGATGGTTTATATGCTGAAAACACTGTTGGATTTTTTCCAAGTTGCCTCTCGACTGATATTCCACTCTCGGGAAAAAGGTCCTTTGAATGGAAAATCAAAATTGAGAAATGCGCAGTACATAATATTGTGATTGGAATTTGTGATCAAATATGTAATAAATGTTGTATTGACAATAATCATGACAAATTGGGGAATAGTTGGGGATTGTGTACCGATGGTTATATCTATAAGAATAGAAGTGTTTACACACCTTATGCAAGGAAAATCCAGCAAGATGACACGATCACGGTTCACCTAAACATGATCGATAAAACCTTGAGATTTTCTATCAATGATGAACTCCAATCAATCATCAATGAATGGAAGGATGAAATTCCATTTAAAGTCTACCCGTTTGCCTCGTTACTCAAGGGCGACATAATACAAATTAAAAGAAACTAAATGTTTTCGTGTTAATATTATTATAAATGTATATTACGCACAATCTCTGTAATAATTATACTATGTATATATGTATATATATATATATATTATTAAAATTAATGATTTTCACATTGGAAACTTAATGTCAAATCAAGAAATAGAATCAGTTTTAACCAATTTTTATTTATATGAAAGTTTAAATATAGTTAGTTGGTCAGTAATTTAACTCTGTCTATCTGTCCACGAAAGTTAAAATTACAAAAGAAAATGTTTAAACTTTATAAGTGTTTCCGGGTGTGTGAGAACTTTTTAAAAATAAAAAGTTCTTATTCCGGGTTGTCGTTTTTTTTTTTTTTGACTAGCCGGCCAACCAATTTCAAAAATGACATATTGTGTGTATGTGTCTGTAGTAATTAATGTTTATGATGAAGCGATGAATTGGAAGACGATGATTGCGTCAACTGCTAATTGTACGACACCACAAAGAACAAACTGGAAAGGAGCAAAAGTGTAGGTGTAATAGAAAATTTTAAAAGTGTCACCTATGGTCCAAACCAAAAGAATCATCGGGCTATAATAGAGGAAAAGAGGAAGAGCGAGGAGTGGGTTGGAAATTGAAATAGAAATAATCTTGGAAGATTAACTGAAGTTACGTTACAATAATAATAATATTATAAATAGCAATAAGAATAATACCTGAAACCTGTAACAGATTTTGATTGAAAATTTTTCCATGCTTGTGGCATTGGAACTGCACTCTCGATTCCAAGTGCCTATTATAGTAAAATATCAATCATACATATAAATATAAATATATAAACACAATAATTATAATGATGGTTATTTTTATTTTTTTCAATGTACCAGAAATCCCAATAATTCGACAAACCAATGTTTATCATTGAACAAATAGCTCAAAACACATAAAGTTGCGGTTAAAGATGCCAAGAATTTTAGATAAGGTGTCAGAGTAGACCAATTCCAAAATTTACGTTGTGATGGATTAAAAATCGAAGGAGTCTTGATACGATAATTGATTGCTTGGTGTAAAACCAAAAGTTGAGTGAAGATCATGAAAATGCTTTGGTACAATAATACATTGTCAAATCTTTTGCCAAACCTAAAAAATATTTATATCGGAAAGAAAATAAATATTAATTATAACAAATGATAATAATAATAATGACAGAAACAATAATAAGCAAGCACTTACCAAAAATATATTCGAATTATACTGAAAAAATGAGAATGAAAAATTAGAATATATTTGCAATATTTATAATATTTCTTAATAATCATACATGTACCCCCGTTCGTTCATTCATATATTAATTTACCTACTAATTAACAAAATTCCTGAAGTATCCAAAGAAAAACCTTTACTAGATTTAGTTTTACGAAATTTATAAATTTGATCAAAATATCCTAGGACAGGGCCGATTATCATTAAAGCTTGCAAAATATTAGACATTTTTTACTTTTTTTTCCTCTTTACGATATATTCTCTAAAAAATTTATTTCATGCATGTAATTTCATTTATATGATGTTTGTCATACACAAACATTGTAAATTTAAATGTTATTTTTAGAAACTGACATTTTACCAGATTCCTTTCGCTCATAAAATTTCATTCAAGACAAATTAAAATTGAAATTTATTTTTGTCTATTTATTCTATTTGAGTAATCGATTATACATTATTTATTAGGAAATAATGTGTAATATACAGTATATATATATATATATATGTGACCGTATCTATTTTTATTTAATAGTAATAAGGTCGTGGAAAATTAGCCGTTAAAAGAAAACTTATTTGTTACACGCACAAAAAATTCATTTAAACGGCGTTGATGAAAAATACGCCTGATCACATTAGTATTACTCGCGCCATAATAATGACATTCATTGAACCCTTGTAAATGATGTTGATCTGGAATTTTTTTTTGAATGTTGATTATGGGTTGGTGATATTTGTATGAGTGATAAACATCGTCAAGAAGGAATTAAAACGAAAAGAGAAATTTTAATGATTTAGAATTGAAAATCAATAGATTTTTTACATTTAGACAAAACTGGTAAAACCTTCTCCTAAGGTAAAAAAAATTTTTGTGAATCAAGGAGAAAAAGATTTAAATATTTAATTATTATTTATTATATATCATTCATTATTATTAAATATAATTACATTATGATGATTATAATAATTAATTATATTACATAACCCACCACAACAATCATCCCGTCACAGAATTAAAAATTAAAAATAAAATAAATAAATTTTTACATCAAGACTAAAAAAAAATTAATTGATTGATAGATTATTCTTAAAAAAAAAAAAAAAAAGTGTGAAAATTGTTATTAATAAATATTTTTTTTTCGATTTTTTTTGTTATTTGATTTTTAATAATAATATTATTAGTTATTGTCACTATTGTAATTATTTTACGGTAAGATATTAATTATTATATTATTAGATTTTTTTTTAAAAAAACAAACTTATCATAATCTTAATTAATCATATAATGGAGTTCTCCAAATTAAAAAAAAAAAAATATAAAAAATCATCACCATTGTCAAAAAAATTGTTTAACATTTGCCATCACGCCATTGCCACAGCCAACGAGTCACCACCATTTCATAGTTTCATATCATTGTTGCCCAACTAATTAGGTCATCTAGCCTATCGATTGACTAACTGGCCATCACTAAGTATTAATAAATTGACATCAGCATCACCACCGTTATACTAAAACTAAATAAGATAAATAAAAAAAAAAGAAATTCTTAGATGCAATCATCAAATTTTGTAATTGCTGCTGCATCAAACTTAAAAAGAAAATTGCATGTTTATAAATGTGATTTTTTTTGTTTTTGGTTTTTGTATTTAATTCTTAGTTAAGTGTAATATTTATTGATATTAATTATTATAATTATATTATTATTATTGCTATCTCGCACACATTGATGAAAAGGTTATGGAAGTTATATAATTAGAAGATAAAGTAATGTGAGAGAGTGAGAGTGAGAAAGTTGCGAAATAGATATATTTATTGCAGTCCGTAAATGCCAATTAAATAGTTATAAATTTCTGGATTATCGATTTCGTGGCCATGATGTTGTATAAAATCGGTTATAATATAAGATTGATCGTGTTGGTAAGTTATCGCTGGAGGAGCACAGTTGTTGGTTGCGTGTGGCGGATGAATTGTGTAGGGCATATAGGCAGAAGGAATACTTCGTAAATATGAAGGAATTGAGGTGTCATTGTAACGTTGAGCATATACAACGCTAACTTGATTTGCTAAATCTTCGTACATTTCTTTTTCTTCAGGAGATGCACTTCTCCAAAGCATGCCAGTCACTTTGCTAATCACACGCATGTTGCACATTCCCTGTTGCTTCGCTTGATGATGGACATTTTTTCGACAAAGTAGAAAACCGTTTGGGGGTCTTGTTGGTTTGTTGGTACGATTACATGGTACTGATAATAGATCTTCGGGATTGTTTAGATGTGGTGGAAAGATTCTTCCTCTATCCAATCTGCTGATCATAGTATCAGCTAAATAATCTAATGAAAAATTTGGTGTGGCAGTCATCATATGTGTATTTCTGTTATTAATATTGAATAGATTAAGAATTAGATAATTATAAACGTGTTTCGTTATTATGCGTTGAAAAAAATTCGTAAAAAATTATTATTTTTTTATTTTATTAATAGAAAATTATTATTTGATTTTTTTTAATTAAATTATTAAACAGAGAGAATGCATAAAATGCTGTGATTATTATTATTAATATTATTTCTCGCCACAGAAGAAATTTGGATCGAAAATTTTGCAAAGATTGTTTTATTTGTATTTATAGGCTTTTTGATAAAATTTTTATATTAATTAAATTAAAAAAAAAACCCTTTTAAATAATAAATCAATATATTATTTTTTACTCCCCGAATCCACAACAAATAATTGACATGAATATGATTTACAATTTTTTAATGAACGACTTAAATTTACGTTTCAAGTATGAGACGATGAACCGGAGAATTATACCAAAACTGACTAATACTTCTTATCGTTGGTCATCAATAATCACCAATTCATCCACCAAATTATTTATACTTGTTTATTGATGATGAAACTTTAACAATTGAACTTAGGTTACAATAAACATAATTTCAAGAAATTTCTAATCTATAAATTTATTTATAGAGAAAGCTATGTGATATTTTTAACAATGAAAACAATGATCAGAAGGTCAATAATCGAACTTTCAAAAAAAAAATAATTTTTTTTTTAATCATTTGAAGATTCACGTATTAATTATGATCACCATTTGCGGTTACATAGTATATCAGAAATAAAGAAACAATAAAACAATCCCTGATTGCAAATTTATTAAGGTGTTGGATGAGATATTTCTACTAAAGCGAAGATCGTGGGGATTTTAAAGCGGAGATGGACGATGATATGAATTATGGTGATGGTGGATTATGGTGATGATGTAATGAATTATTATGGTGATAATGAATATAAAAAGGGGCTTGTTAATTTGCATCAACACAATAAACCATTTTAACCACTTTTTTCATCTTAAACTCCTCAAAACACGAATTTTTATTTTTAATTAATTAATTAACAAAATGCAATTGTGAATGCTAATTCTGGTAAGATCATCGTAACGTTTAAAAATGATTAGTAATAAAATAATAATAATAATAATAATAATAATAATTATAATAATAATAATAATAATAATAATAATAATAATAATAATAATAATAATAATAATAATAATAAATTAACAAAAATTCGGACATTGTTCATTTATTTTTTTTCTTTTAAAAAGAATGCATTCACTTACGGGGTTAAGTCCGTATATGTGATTGGTTCTTTCATTGTGTTCAATGGTTTAGCCGAGCCTAATCGCGATTTAGGGAGTAAAAAAAATAGATAATTAATGATTTGACATTTCCCAAAATTGCAATCCTATCGAACTTCAAAAAAATTTTGGAAATAACAAGCATTGAACTTTTAAATTTTTCTTTCGATTTGTTCTCTTATTAATGATATATACTCGAGAAATTTTTAAAAGTTATAAATGAATTAATTTAAAATTTAACTTGCAACGTCGTCAAAACGAACCGAGCAAACAAACGTTCATATACGCATGTACCGACGAACAGTCAATCAAATATACATGACTGAGATTTAATGTCCCGGACCGGCAGATCATTAAATAATAATAATTATTATTTTTTTTTTGGCGTGTAACATTCATTTCAAAAGCCATTTTTAAAATTCCAAATTCAAAATTCAAACATTTTAAATTTTACATTGTTCTTCAGGTGATAAAGAAGTATGAATCTTATATATCACATTTCGTCTTCATGAATATAATTTTTAATTTTCATATACAAACGATCGAATTCATTATCATGATGATTATTATGATAATTTTGCCGAGTGAAATTAAATATAAGCTATTTATATTTCATATGTATGAGTGATCATATATGCTTACATGTATGCATCTAAGAGATTTTATACATGCCTATGCTGTACAGGAGTATATGCTAAGCCTTATTGATTTGAAAGAAATTACAATGAGTTATGATTGAAGATTATATTACCAACGTTTTTAATAACTCACATGTACATTTAAATACATCAAATCCAACGAATTCAATGAGAATAAAGAAATTTTTTTTCATAGTTGTTAAATGCAAACTACTCACTATATTAGCATTCACATCTATATATGTTTATATTAATGTCTAGATTTTTATAGCATGCACGCGTCATGTTAATTATTTGATTGATTGATTGATTGATTGATTGATTTGTTTCTCTAAGAATTTTAAGAGGTCTATATTACGCATATAAATAGTAATTTTGAATAGTTTACCAAGATAATTGGTTAACAAAATTACTTTCAATGATTAATTAGGAAATGAAAAAATTTAATAAATCTAATTATCGTTGAAGGAGGATCTACCTACGAGTGTTTATTATATGAACTTGGAGACTTTGTTACATGATATTTTTATTAATATTAATAAAACATTCTTACGTGTTTCTTTAGCTACTACATTCGGACATTGATAGTCCATTAATATTTTATCATCCATGAACTTCCTTTTTTTGAATTTTTGTTCTTTCTCTTTAGTTCTTTTCTCCAAAGTAATTATAGAACAAACCTTTTAAAGGCAATGAATGAAATATGATGAATTATAAATAATATATTGACATATAGTTTTATTGAACCGGATTTTTTTTGACAAATCTTAAATAGGTTATATTTTTTTTTCTTTTCAATATACTCTCTTCTGGACCAATTAATCGATTTCATGCTCGCGTCAATTATTTTCCTTTAATTAATCATTTACTCTTATTGTATTGTTAGTGAGCGATTCTTAATATGGTTGGTTCTTAATACGGCTCTTAATTCTAATTAACTATCGTTTATACA